ATTGAAATAGAGACCAAAGAGAGAACGAGAGAGACTAAAGCATAAGATTAATCGTTATACAAACATGTGAAAACTTATGTAATTTGTGCAAATGTACGTAATTACTGTTTATCTATGTTTAATGCACTAAAATGGAATCACGTTTACTTCAGAATCAAAAAACTTATGTGTAAAGAAAAACGTTGGTATTGCAATTAATGTGTGTTACATTATAAAGCAAAACTGTTTTCCCCTCAGGGGCTCGTTTTAACGAAGTTGTACCCCTCGCCCCGCCTGGTATTCCATTCACGCAGATCATCCGTAACTAGGGTTTTGGAGTCAGCGCGTCTTCCACTCCCTCACCATATCGCCGCTCCTTCTGGCTTGCAAGGCCGGGACCCTACCTATCGATAAATCTACAAATTCCACTTGATACCACCTGGGATTGGACCCAGGCACCAGCAATGGAAGGCACGCAGTCTGACCACTACGTCATGGATCACTCCTCTACGCTACGTTCTATAATAAAACTAGTAAGTCTACACCCGCAAACTTTCTCGCATTGTTCATAACCTTTGCATTTTTTCAATCTTCAGAGTGCTTAGTGGAAATGAGCAGCTTTTTTATTGCCCTTTTATCTACCCCTGAAAAATGTAAAAAAAATGTTTAGCCGTTTTTGAGAATTTGTATAAATTGCATTAATTTCAAGTAGGAATTATGCGAAAGCTACTCGTTTTTTCAAACATTGCCCAATATCTTATTTAAAGATTTGATGTTCTCGAACATATTTCATTTAAGACAAAATCTGTTCTTCTTCAATATTGTGTTTTTCGAATGTTAACGTTTTGCAATTTTTGAAAATACTGAGAGTTCTATGAAAATGGGATCAGCACCAAATTTGTTACGATATTTTGATATATACAATGGTAAATTTTAAAGGACAAATTGGAACTGTATTTAAGAAAAAACAATTTTTAATTTTTTAAAAAAAAATTACGCAAAATTACGGGCCCACTTCTCATATTTTCGAAACATTAAACATGTCATTAATTCAAGTTGCCTTTGAACTACAGATTTCATTAAGAAAAATGTAGACGTAAAAAGACGCTGAAACAATTTTGAACTTTTGCAATTCTAGGTTTCGCTTGCAGTAAGAGAATAGGCGGATTACACCATCAACAATTTGAATTTCTTTTAAAATATCGTAGTCCTTTCATTGTATTTGGATTTTTCCCGAGTCCTTGGGTATGTAACGCAAAGATCCTCTTACATGGCAGAAGCTACATAGTTTCCTTTCAATTTCTGCACGCATTGGAAAGTAGCAATGTAGATACTTTTTCGCGTTGGATCATGATATTGGTCGTGAATGAACTTAGTATTTCTGTTAAAACAAAGAATTTTATACATAAGTATTTTGCTCGCCAGTATCACACTTTGCGTAAAGCTGAAATAACAAAATCGTAAGTAAACTTATGTATGTGATTAACTTTAATCCGAAACGATCACGACTCTCCTTGCCGGATTTGAATGTCCAGCTCCATTCTCGACCCGCAACACGTTACACTCAAATTATTTGAACTTTCATATGTATCGTATCCCGTAATGTAGTGCATGTTATATCACAGGTGTTGGAGGTGTAACCCCCGCTCCCGGTAGTTAGTGAGAACCGGTTCGGACGTATATGTCGACAAGCCGCATTTTTTCTCTCCAGGTATCTCCCTCAGTGGGACACGGTCCCAAGTAGGGCCTTTGGAGAACCTCTTCTCCATATTTATAGCAATATTTCAAATCCACAGGTTACAAAGGGAGGAAATCAGGGATTAAATATACTTTGAGAAATAAAATGTTTCATGGCGCAAGTCTACGGTCCCCTGTGAAAACTTTCGGGAGGACTACGATCTCCGAACTCCCCTGTGCGCCCGCACGTATCGATAATCGACATCGTTGCGATTCGAGCACTAGGACCTCCCAGTCGACGATGCTGCGAAGGAAACGGATGTGTCCAGTGGATATGGTTCATTGAATGATTATTCATGTTTTTGGGCGCGTCAACGGCTATGGTTATTACTAACGTAAACATAATGCACGTTTTTGTCACGGGAGATGGTGGTGTTCCCCCTCATTGCTGTTTAGATTTAGCGCCGAGCTACACGTCCTCTTCCGGGAGATTTCTACGTCCAGGTATCTCCCACCCCTCGCTCTAAGCGCCCCACTGGTCTTCCGAAATGTGTGGTAGTGTAGTGAATGCAAGTATGTGTAAGTAACGGATGAGGATAGGACCAGGAAGAGGATGCAACTATCGCGCGCGGTCCGTGGCCCGTTTCTTAAGTTATTACTCCGGCATTGGCTCGATGTGTTGATTAGAGAAACCACAGGAATCTACCGGCCTTAGCAACCGATCGTTGGAATTCTCCTCGACCCAGCGGTTGCATTCCACCTAGCTATGTTGCTAGCGTCGAAAATCCTGCCTCCTGTGAGACTCGTATCGCAGAGCCGTGCGGTCAGAGGCGCTGCAGCAACATCATTTGGTGCCCTGAGCCCCCGCAGCCGGTCGGTTGGCCTGAGTTGAGGTAGGAAGCCGAAGCCTCATTCCGCCCGCGTAGCGCCCTGCCTGGGAGCGACTGGTGGGTGCCGCTACCCATTCCTCGTCTTAGCCGCCGCTGGCGCGCGCGCCGCTGCCGCGCGTGGGTGGGCGGGCGCGGAGCGCGGCGGTGGCAGTAGCTATTCGCGCCCGCGCTATGCCGCAGGCGGCCCGCCCCTCCCCCGCCGTGCGAGGACGCTGCCCGTGCAAGCGGAGTGCGGAGCGGGAGCCGGGGATGAGTCGGGCGATGAGGTGGGGAAGAAGAACCCGCCCGGCGCTGCGGGCGATCGGCCAAAGATCGCGTTGGCGACCGTAGCACGCCCACGGATTCCTCAGAAGGTGAGAGGCTGGGAAAGGTGTCGTAGATTCAGGACACGCGATCTGAAGCATTGAATATACTAGCGGGGGCGGGGGGCGAGAAAGATTGCGGTGTGTAGGCAGAGGCAGACGGCAAGGAAATACTATAATTGCATCCTTCGAGCTGCGTTATTGTACGAATGATCAAAAGATTTCACAAGGAGAAAATGGCATGAGTGAAACAGGTACATTTGTAGAAGAGAATAAACAGCACAGCAGATGGTTTATACTGAACAGTAATGGTTATACTTAGTCTAGTGTTGATATTATAAAAACATAAGTTGAAGAAACAAAACTCAGAGATAGAGTTGAATAAGAGGTGCAGAAATCTTTAAGAATAAAAAAAGTATCTAGATTGCGGTAGAACGACAATGAAGAGAAGAAAATTGAAAGCACTAATTGGCGTCTGTAGAGGATTAATGCAAGGGTCTAATAATGTCATTACGGAGGAACCCGCTGAAAGTAATAAAATTAATTTTGGTTGCGTGTACAATAATTAGAGTGAGTGAGTATTGATTCAGGAATCGTCTACCACTGAGATAATTAAGCCAGGCCACGTAAAAACAGTATTATTTATCCCTGGAGGCGGTATTCCTACGCCGATGAATACTGAGATTCGGCTCCGACCTACATGTCACCGTGTTTTTACTCATCCAGGTATCTCCCTCTAGCAAGGCGGCGCGGCGACCAGGACAAGCTCGACCGCTAGAACCCTTTTCCACGCAGCGGAAGAATTCGACTCGTTTATAAAGTGTGGAACGTATGCCAGAGTTGGAGATCGATCCCTGGAACTTTCCGGTTAAGGATGTTGCAAAGGCAATGAATAAGTCATAGAGCTGTTGCGGCCTTTAGCAATCATTTGAATTTTGATCTTTAAGGAGAAAAATTGACATTTTCGTTAATATAATCGCTCAATCGTAAAGAGAGCAATCCATCGTTCTGTATAAAGGAAGCGCCGGGCCATAATCTCAGCCGCCAAGCTAGTGATGCGAAATTACGGCAAAACATCTATACATCACCAAAACGTTTTCGATGTCGATGAAAACATCGACAAAAACATCTATGTTGAAAATATTGATGTATCGTTATTTGCGATGTGAAACATTGAACAGTGATGAAACATTTCAAAGGAAAATGGCCTTGTCCTAATGCGATAAATAACACGTCAGTAATAGTTTAAAGAATTTTGTCCCATAAATTTCACCGTCATTTTCTAATTTATGTTCTACGTAGTCAAGGTTCACATTACAATTAAAGGATAATACCACGTACAAAATAATCGAGAAAGTTAACAACACTGGAGAAAGGTTACGAATAACAAACGATTTCATGCCAACGTTTTCGTGCCAACAAAAGTGATAGTTGTCAATGGGTGTTGATTGCAAGCAAATCACAAATAAAATAGATACTGGAAATTTTGTTTAAATCATGAGAATGAATCAGAAGAAAAAATAATTTTTTTACAGACATTGATGTGTCCGGACAAATATGCCGATCTGAAAGAAGACTCGTAAGCAAAACATCGATGTTACAATATTCATGTTTCTGCTCGAAAATATCGATTTAAAAAAAACAAAAAAAAAACAAACATGAATGTATATTTGACATCCCTACGCCAAGCCCGCGTGACCCGCGTGCCCGCCTGCCAGGTGAAAGCGAGTCTGTCGTGGGCCGCGGCGCGGCGCTGGTGGGGCGGCGCCGGTGGCGCGGCGCGCGGCGCAGCGAGGAACCCGCGCCGGGAGCATGGCCAGGGGGGCGCGGGGCGGCGCGGCGGCAGCTGCTGCAGGGAGAGGTGAACGCGCCGGCGCAGCCTGCGGATGGACGAGGCGGCGCGCGCTCGCGCCCACTCCCGCGCCCCGCCACCCGCACCCGCCCGCCGCCTCGACGCCGCCGCCGCCCACGTGGGGCCCGCCGGCCGAGCAGTCGCCGGCACCCTCTCGCTTGCCTCGCAAGGTACGTGCTCGCGCGCTTTGGCGTCCATTAGCGGGCGGGCGCCGCGGAAGGTCGGGTGGCGTAATTGGGACGGCCGGTGGGCGGGCGGGCGAGCTGGCAGAGGCGATGCCGCGGGCGAGAAACACCGCCTCACGCCTCGCCCCCCTCGCGCCGCCCGCCACGCCGCCGCCGCCGCCGCCGCTGGAAGATGCTGCGCAGATGATACCCCGCGGCCGCCAGAGCTCCGGATCCGTCGACGGCGAGCTGTGGAAGTCACGGCATGCGCTTCTGGTTTCGCGTCTAGAGACGACGCGCGTTTCATCTTCTGCGTGTGCTCAACATCTCGTCTGGAATTGTGAGGAGTGTAGTTTTGACAGTGATCTGGTGGCTGGATTCCTTATGAGGTTAACCTCTGTGCTTGTATCACACTAGGAAGCGTTAATGTGTTGAAAATAGTGTATATCGTAATTAATTGAATACAAGAGGTACGTAACAATATATTTTTTTACATAGTATTTTATTGAGTTTCATTGTGAATACGTTGAATGGAATGTGCCTGGTCTCTGTGAAAACAAAAGTGTCAGTGCACGTGAACACGAATGTTCTTAAAAATCACGTAACGAACACGTTAATGTGTTACATTAGCACTTTGAGCAGTACTCCGCGACTCTTTAAGCCCCGCGTAGGTGGGTGAGGGTCGGCCAAGCCGCCCGGAGGCGTTGCGCAATGCCGCGGCCGCCGTCGCCGCCGGGGCGGGCAGGTGGCCGGTTCCAGATCGCAGAGCAGTGCACCTTGAGCCGTGCGTGATCGCCGGATATGCAGGCGTGCCGGGCCGTTAGCTGCGGGGATCTGGAGCGCCGCGCCGCCGGGCCCGTCGACGCGTGGGCGAGCGCGACAGGCGAAGCTACAGCAGCTCCGTTAGTGATAATTGGATTCTGTAAGACGGGAAATCCAAAGCCATTGATTCATCAGTGATTCCGGGCGCGTCAACTGCTAAGGTCATTAGTCCCGTAAGGGTAGTACATGTTTCTTCCCCCGCTGCATGGTGACACCCGCCGCCGGGCAGGATTCCTACTTGTTGACTTGCGGGGTTTCCCCTAACCAGGTATCTCCTACCAAATGGGCACCACCACAGACGGTACAAGCTCCAAACTTCCGACTTCCGGGGAAAAACACTGCGTTTGGAATTATTAGATTTTGCAAGGCAGGAAATCCGAAGTCGTAGTACGTAATCGTCTTGAATAAGAAATAATTTATATTTAGAAAAATGGGATTTTGCGTGTCGCACAGTCGAAAACGTGCGGAAAAATAGGAGCTAGTTGGAACAGAAAACCACTGTTAATGCCTAAACGCTTTTATTCAAGAGCTGTGTCTTGTCTTGATTTATGCTCTCATAAGCATTTCATAAAAGTAATATATGAAAAAATACGATTGTATCATACAAGTACGTAAAATACACGTTTATATTTGCAAAGAAATATATAGCTACTTAATTAAACTTAAGGGTCATTCACAATGGGAACGTAAACATAAACATAACGCATAGCGGTAAACATTAAGATAAGTGAAAGTATTCACAATGTCTAAGACAAACGTAAGCAAAATAAAGAGTTTCTATTGCCTGTGAGACATTCTAGTCGGATGTGAGAATTGATATGAAGGTATGGACTGTATCCATGGCCCATTGGTGTTAGTTCGTTTATTGACTTCGTTATTTCGATTTTGAGTTAACGTTCCGTGATTGGTTCATTTCTTATCGTCTCGTCTTACTTAAGCGTAAGCACAGAAGCTTGAATCTTGCAAGCTTTTAAGTTAACGTGTTATGCTTATGCGAACGCGTTGTGAATGAGTCTGCTTATGGACGTAGTCATTACGTTTATGTTAACGCCATGTTTATGTTTGTTTGCATTGTGAAACTTCCAGTAGCGTAATGAAAGGAGTGCGGGCCCGCCCCCCAAATGTTTATCCGGGCCCCTTCATAAATGTGTATAGCAAACACAAGTAGTATTCATAATGTAAATAATAAAAAATATCTCCCAAAAGTAGGCCCTCTTTTCCGGGCACAACCACATTGCGGGCCTTGTCGGACCGAACCTAACGTCACTCGTAACCCTCAATTTTACTGTGAAAACATTTCGTCTATATTAAGAATGGAAAACGTTTGGAAATTTTACCCTGCGTAGATAAAGAACTTTAATTTTTTATGGCAATCAAAGTAGCCTAAACACTAACATAACCTCAAAAATCCTAAACAAGTACGCTGGTTTATCCCCGTCAAATTTCATTTAATTTATGTTAAAATTATCTACAAAATTCTTCCCATTTTATATTGCTGCTGTACTTATATTTTCATTACTGTCATTATTTTATATTAGTGTCAAATTAGCGTGAAGTGGTTGAGGCGAAAACTACGTTAAGTGTATGCCGAGGACACATTTGGCGAAAACAATAATATCGTGAGATTGACGCTCAGTAGATTTCTCATCGAAATTGTTGTATTAAGACTTTCAAATTCATGACCAGCAAGAACTCTCTATATGATGAAAATTAGGAAGAACCAGGTCTTCTGAGACAGCGTATAGATATTTACTTTACTACAGAAATTGCGTCTGTCTAGCGTACGAATGAAATATTTACGGGAAAGGTTTATCAATTGAGTACTTTACTATTGGTATTCTGGTGAGTCTTCGTTGGCATTTACAATGAAATAATTATGAGTTGTCATTGCCAACAATATTGTTTATTACTATAGCATATTTCGAGGCTTAGCCGTATGTTTAGTGCCGTATGGAAGTACAAGTCTGTGACTTGTACTCTTCTAATGTAAAATGAATTTCAGTAATTTTTGTTTGATTACTTATTTTTAAATATTAATAAATAAATGTATTAGCATGCAGCGAGTAGTGTCTACATACATAATTCATCCACTACCGGGACAAGCAAAGTATGTTGCCTACCCTGGTAATTCTATTTCGGAAAATACAAAGGAAGTTGCAGACCAGACGCATGCGAATTTAGCGTCTAGTGCTCCAGAAATAAATCATTCGAGTAAACTAACAGCGGCAGTGTTTATGGTGCAAAGCCCGTCCTGAAATATCAGCAGCACGAAGGAAGTAGCTTCGCCCTGGGGACGGCAACGACGAAGATTGAGTGCAGCTGGCTACCATTAGCATACAGTCCACATGACAGGAACTGCCGGGCGGTGGCAAAAATCGATCATGATCTCCTTCAATGCCAACGGAAATAGCATCTGGAGGAAAGTTGTTGCTAGGCTACCTTTTAATAATTTTGCTGTATTATTTAATGAAGATGTTATATTTGTGAGCATATTTAGTAATTAATCTAATTAGCGCATAAGTCAGTGCATAGTTGCATAAATGTTGTGACTATGGACACAAGCAACATTTGAAGCGAATTTTCTTATTTATATCGTGTGTAATGATACCCACGCGTTACGTTCAATATTTGTTGTGATCGAAAGTTTTTAAATAATTTTAATTTTCAGAAACGCAAATAGTAAATTGGGCGTAACGTAGACAAACACAGATCCATAAGTATATATTATATTCACCACTACAATGTATTCATTCGATGACGTCACTTTTGTCCTATATTTATGATCAACCCCATACCGACTTTAAGGATAAACCATTTAAAATGGCATATATTGAAGAGTTTAAAAAATTTTAAATAATAATAATAAATTATATTTTCAAAATCGATTCCAAATTTTTTCTTCAAACTTTTTTCTCGTATGTAGTAAAGAAAGTGGTGCTGGCCCCATTTTCGGCGAATTCTTTGTATTTTGCATTACTGCTGTATTGCGAACAACAAACAATTAACGTTGCAAAAATGCAGTATTGATGAAAGATTTTTTTAATGAAATCTGTCCTAAAAATAGTTGTTTAAAAAGGTCATAAACTTTTTTTTTAAATACTGAGACATTGAGGGAAATTTTGCGAATTTCCTGCTCTATTTACTAGTTTCGGGAGGTATCAGATTGGAAAACGAAACCGCCGCACGCCTCGATACGGCGTGGCGGTTTGAAATTCTAAGAATTATTTCTCATTGTTGGATCATTCAACTACATTAATAAAGGTTTTTTTATTTCACGTCTGCACAATTCAAATCTGTTTTTGAAGAAAATTAGGTAAATGGTTTGAATTAACATAAATTGAACTGAATTGATTCCTTATTTTACGTGGCGAGACTCAGGCCATGAGGCCTGCTCTTCTGACTACGCATATTTCGCCACGATCCTTTCACCAATTAGGAGAGAAAGGAGGTATTTCTTGGGCGACGAACAGACTATTTGAATTTTGCGCAGAGGCGACATTTAGGCTTGAGGATCTTGTTCATGCAAGAAAATCTACTAACATGGATAGCCGGCTTTACTTCCCCTCCGAAGGAAGGCGCACGAAGGACTTCGCTCTTAAAAAAATTCGTCTTCGATCGGGTTTGAACCAGCCTACTTGGGAATATAGCCGATACGCGAACCTTTACACCATCGCCGCCGCCATAAATAACATTATTACATAGACTTACTGGATACATTTAGAGGTTTTGTTTAATTAGTGATTAAAGTAGCGGTAAGGCAGTTCTAATATGTGTTGATGTTTGTCTATATATCTGCCCCTATTGACCAGTAGATTAGTTGATATATGGTTTGTATGTTTAGTTTCTTAAAATACGTCTAGCTTCTTTCCGTAATGACGTCCGCAATAGTAAAAATGTTAGGTCCTTATAAAGTGTGTTATTACTGACGAATCACGGTGCTCCGGAAACTTTCTTAATGTTCTTGATTTGAATCTTTCGAAAATCTCAATGTTCGATTTACTCACAGAACCCCATAATTCTAATTCGTACGTCCATGTGAGTTTCATAAGTTTTGTATAACAACACTGTTGAACAGACAGCTGCGACAAAATGGGACAAGAGGACGCCCATTTGTAATTTGTAAGCACTATTGTATTTTTCAGTTATAGTGCTTTAAATGACTCCAAATGAAGCTTTCCGAAAACTCAAAAATTTTGTGGAAAAGTACTATAAATTTCGAATTTAATGTAGCGTTTAAGCACCATTGTCTTCAAAACTGCTGCAAATGTTTCAAAGAAAATTGCCATTTAGGACGAGGTTTTACTGTTCATTAATATTATTAAAATAATATTTCCAATCTACTATTAGGAAACCGAAAAATTAATAAAATGTCAAAAGAATGTACTTTGGCCGGGGATGGATGGCAGCAGGAAGTAGGTGGCAAGTTCGAATAGCTAGCGGAGACCAAAGGCAATAGAAAACTAATACGGGAACGTCTGTGCCATTCTGTAGCACCACTAGTTTTGTCTTACTGTGTTGAGGCGTGAACACCTACTTCGGTGTTGAAGTCATCACGTGCTATTAACCTATTCCCCAGCCATTTTATGAACTATTCGAAATTTTCCTCTCTAATCTTATGCTTAGGTAAGCAGTTGGTAATCATTATCAA